TGAGTGGTGTATGATGAGTGGTGTATGATGGTGGTGTATGATGAGTGCTGTATTGATGAGTGGTGTATTGATGAGTGGTGTATGATGAGTGGTGTATTGATGAGTGGTGTATGAACAGTTCTTGAATGTCCGTAACACAGAAGTTTCCTACACTAAACTTCACTTGATGATTTGGCAAATCTTGTTCACTAGGCACAAGGACGCTACTAGGGGCTCCTGGCCTTACTACTAGGAGCAAGGAAGGCACAATGATCCATAAGACGGGAAAATGAACTCCCCATCCGGATTGATGCGAGACACGACGCACACAGCTCACAAGGTCAGCTGGTCAGCTAACAGCTCACAGCTCCTTCATCTTCCTCTTTCCTTTCTCCCTCTTTCTCTTCTTTTCTTCTGGTTCTGGGGCCCTTGTTCTCACATCTAGACCCTGGCATCTCAGTGAACCTTGAAGACCCTGTACGTGTGACGCTGGTTGCAAAGCTCTAGAGCAATTGCTTTTGAGAGTTCTACTGGAATTGTTCCTTTTTCAGATGTGTGTGGTGGGGATTCTTGTCGAAGTGAGTGCAGTGAGTGGTGTCTTCTCGCAACTGCATTTTTATATGTATACTGTATACCATATGCCCAACAAATAACAATGCGTGAGCTGTTGAAAATTTCAGCCACTGTACTTTTTTAAAGCCATGTCAACAATGCTCTGGAAACTGGAAACACCCAGACCAAGGTCATATGCAGTTATATATCTCAAAACAGAACAGGAGACACCCACCTTGCACCCCTGAGAATCAGGAACAGAGCCAAAAGTGTTTGATTTGAGATCCCCACTTTGAGATCTCTGCAGATCTCGAGGTTCTTTTCACATGACAAGTCACTCCACTGCTCCGAGGCACGCGAGAATTCGTTCAGAAGACCTCGCTGCTTCTCCGTGCCTCGTGCGGAGTCCACGTTGTGGGCCGGGTTACGGCGCGGAGAACGGTTGCGCGCAACCGGAGAACGGATGGATCCAAAAACGATGGATGTTTTTGTTACATCCCAAAAGGTCCAATTCGGAATCCCTCTGTGGCCAAGTCACCAAAAGAACAATGCAATGGATCAACTGCTGTGGTGGCGTTTCTGAATCTTGACCCACACACAAATGCACAGTGGAGACGCGACTCTGGTGGAGCTTTCATTCGTGCTACTTCCACTAAGAGTAACAACATGATGATTGGGGATCATGCTGAACCTTCCTCCTACCAGGTGCCCACTCACTCCGGGCAGTTTCGTGCACTTCACATGTGTCAAGTCACAAACTGCAACAAACAATCTGCAAGCCATGGGCAGATTCTGCGCGGGTGCACTCTTTTCCTTCCTCTCAGACGGTGCATGCGTTTCTCATCAGCTCTCCAGCATACTAGCCCAAGAAAAAACAGCCCCGGCAAACAAAACATTCACTTTCGGTGCTCGACGTCCGTCACTTCGATGAAACGTCCCATCTTTCTTGATTTGCGTGCCACGTTTGGTGTCAGCATCCTCTGTCTAAGAGTGATGGCGGGGCCAAAAGGAACCTTGCAACAGTAGCTGGCCAGAGTTGCTGGGAAATGCCCTTGCTTCGCAAGGCTCACCAACTGCCTTCTGGAGTTGTCAAAATATTATGTCCAAACAGCGTTGTCTTCTTGCCCGTTCAAGACGCATTCCCCTAAGGGTGGTTGCTTCACTCTTTCATGGATGAGGCCATTTCGCAGCTGCGGCCCCGAGGCAATGCAAGGTGCAGCGTTCGAACGGCTCTGTCTAGTGCCACTCTTCGGTGGCCGAATTGCGTTCACTTTTGTCCTCGTTGGGGCCAGGAGGGGTTCTTGGGCGGATCTCATCTTTTGTTCGAAGAATTGTCTCGGGGATGATTGGTTCACCAAGGCAAAAAGTAATATATACAACCCTGATTCTACACCTACAAGAATAAGAAGGGTGGTTTCCAAATGTATATTGTATATTACTATATATGGAGGGCCATTTCATGAGGTTCATGTGCCTTGCAAATGTTTAAACCCCTCCAAGCCATTTCTCACTGGGCTTGCCATTGGTTGGGGCCACAGCAAGAGATTCGCAAGCGCCTGCGGCAGCCTGTGGCCCATTCTGCTCTTCAAAGTCTCAGGTTGTCTTGCCTTATGCCTTATGAAAGCACAAAAAGGTGAGGTCCCCTAATAAACAATATTGTCGCTAATTCTACCTATTGCTTTGGCCCCCGTCTTTCTTCACGCTTGACCAAGCAAGCGAAAGCCAGTGTTGGAAGCAGAAGGAGCAAAAGAAGAAGAAGAAGAAGAAGAGCAAGAAGCTCATACAAACCTGCGTACCGAAAGAACGAAGCACGAGTTTGGAGTATGGCTCAATCTTGCTATTTGATTGTCACTTGTTGTCGAACTACTTATGCCCTGGGCAGCTTGGGGTCAAAAGGGTGGCTCGCGGAAAAGGTGTGCCACAAGAACTTTGGCGAGCAGCTCACTTGGATCCGAAACGATGGAAGCATCTCCAGCCTCCAAACGGACATGAAACTTTGTCATCCAACCGAACACAGACTCTGCATATCATATCCCAGAAATTGTGAAATATGGTGTACAATCCTTGTAAAAAGCCGTGGAAGAACTGACATTTCTCCACTCCGAAGCGGGAGAGTTGCGTGAGGACATCACTGCAAGTGTGTGCCATCTTTGCCACCCCGGCTGCCTAGAATGGCCTAGAAGGCCTTTGCATAGTTGGCCAAGCGGGCAATCCTGACAGATCTTCGGCATCTGAATCGAGTCACAGAAAAGCAGAAAAGGACGTCTCATGGTCTAGGTTGGGAAACTACACGGTAAACACACGTGAAAAAGAGAGGCAGCACGCCTGGTTTCTATGTTGAAACCTCTGACAGCTCGGAAGTGGAAAGAAACATCTCAAGTTGAGCTTACATTTGGTTGCAAGGGGAGTCAGATTGAGCGCAAAGCCGCAAAGTTCGTCTTCCTTGCATTTGGGAGTCACCTCTGTGATTTTCAAGGCCCATTGGTTGGGGACATCAATCTTCGGAATCGGGTCGATTTCCACGCCTGCCAGCAGTTTTGGTGAAGCCCACCCACTGCTCCATGGAGATTTGGAGACCAGCACTGACCTTGGGCCGAGGTGAGACCTGCTGATCCATCTCCCGTCCAATTGAAAGGCTAGCCTTTGTTTTAGCGTTCACTTGTAACGCTGCGCATTGCCTGCTCCTTCTCATCAAATTGCGCAGGAATGCAAGGGTGGCCATTGTCAAACAAACGTGAAACCTGGCATCTTGAATGGGTCTGAACCAGTACCAATGCCAGTTGACTTGACTTTACTTGGTCAAACTCTGGCAATGGCCTGAAAATATGATTTATGGCCAACTGGGGTGTCAACCATCGACGCATCGATGATAAAGTCGCACTCGTCCCCGGAGAAGGATTCGCCACCTAGAAAATGGCAAGATAAGAATCATGCGAATCCTCACAATCGGAACCGCAGACACTCTCCAGACTCCAGATCAAGGAAGACCCTCTCCAACAAAAGAACTGGGATTGATGCGTCAGTTTATGTGGAAGCTTTATGGTAGTGGCAGTGCTTTGAGGGAAAGGTCAGTCAAAGTAGAAATCGGAGTACTGCTGAGTAAGGTGGCTGGTGTGATCTGTGACCATGAGAATAGCAGTGAGAGTTGCGGATGAAGTATCGGCAGCAGCAGCAACCGCTGTTGCAAGAGCAAGAGCAGGATCCGCAGTACTCATGGTCATGGCTGGCATGGTAGAGAGTCATAGTTTAAGTTGCTCGGTGGAAGCACCAGTTCTCCCATGACAATCGTGGCTGGCATCCTATCGGTGCCGAAGCGACCTATGCTTCGCTCAAAACAGCTGAAGGGCCCCAAAAACATCCAAGAGGAAAAAAGTGTTGCCTGCCGAACAGCCCCGGCTGAATGGCACCTATGGACTGCAAAAGCTGGAAGAGCCCTGTACGGCAGTCCTGGAGAGCGGGGGTTCGGGGGTTCCGTCTTCCCAGTGTTCACTCCTGCAAATTGGATTTTTTTCACGGTGATGAACAAGATTTCAGGAAAGCACACAAGTTCAGTCGAAGCGAAAGTGGTCTTGTCTAATTACTTCCATTGTCGTTTCAGGTTTTGGCACCGAGTTCAATCGCAAGAGGGACGGTGTCAAATCGGAAGGCGCTGAACATGACGAGCAAGCCGGACTTTGCAAATCGGCGAAACATTTTTGTGAAAAGTACACATTGAAAAGACACCTTTTTGAAGTGTAATAGTTCCTTCCATGTCTGAACAGAATGGATGTTTTTAGTTTGGGACCTCCATGTGGCTCTGCCACTTCGCTTTGATCCTGTGACTCTTCAACGTCTTCCCCGCCTCCGCACTGATTTGATCTCCGCCACCAGCCAACCGAAGGAAAGACTGGGCGGGCGTGCTTGAAACAGCAAGTGCAGGAAAATTGGTCTAAACCAGATGAGGCCGAAAGTGAATTCAATACACAAAATATACAAAATTGTTTTGCAGTTAGAGAAACGTGTCGAATTAACCACAAAATTGCGTGCCCTGTGGGATTGTGGTGGTTTACGGTCCCACATCCAAGGACACATTGCCTCGAGAGCCTCAGACTCGTTGACCGGGTTCAGGCGGAGCATCATCACGAAGGAACTGCTGTCGATCGCAAAGGCCTCACGCCAAATGCTGGACATCGTGGGAGGAAGTGGGAGGAAAGTGGGAACGTTGGGAAGGAGTTCTGGGAGCAAGGACGCTACTAGGGGCTCCTGGCCTTACTACTAGGAGCAAGGACGCTACTAGCAGCTCCTAGTGGGAAGGTTGGGAAGGAGTTCTGAATCTGACCAAATCTTGTGAAGTTTCAGGCAAGACCATCATTAAAAACGTGACACGTGTCATGTGCATGCAAACACCAAAGCGTCCTGATTGCAGCCATAAAGAGCTTTGTGGCCCCAGTGTCTACATAACTCTACATAATTATATATATATATATATACATCAGTAGAAAACACAACAGCAAAACTGTCTGCAAATTTGCACGATCCGCTCTGACGTCCTATCTTCACCTCCAGTTTGCCATTGGTTCCGACCCTGATTTTGGAAAATATCACGTGACGCATCTTCAATCACTGGCCTGCCAGATTTTGGCAAATGAATTGATCAGGTTAAATATGATTGCATCAATCCCATAACTTTGGCATCGGCCAATTCCCTTCACACGGAGGATCGCCTCATTACTGCTGGCAATCTTCAGGAGCTCGGTGTCAATGTCGGTCACTCCGCCTGGATGCACTCGAGAAGCCAAAACAGGCGCAAGTATGTGCAAGTAAGGGGGGCAGCACTTTGCAGCACTGAACTCGTACCTGGAAATTCTTGAAAGCTTCTGAACTCTTTGAACTGTTGCAAATCTTCACGCATGTCCTTCAGTGGATGGATTTGGGAGATCTCTTCTTGCTCCCAGCTCCTCTGCCTCGATCCCTGAACTTGGGAGCCCCACTGTGCATTTCCAGGAATTGGCGCAACGCCTGGTTGTCGGGCTGTACAGTGGCCTGAAGACAGCCCAGCTGCGATGCACGTTTTGAGCGCCATGGGGAGGGGATGCCTCGAAAGCAGAAAACGAATTGACTAATTAGGCTATAGGCTATAGGCTATAGGATTATCTGCCAAAAAGGTTCACATAAAATGAACTTTGGCACCTCTACTGGCCTGCAACATCCGGCTTTTTCCGCTCTCCGAAAAAAAAAAAAAAAAAAAAAAACCGAGGAAATCATCAGGTGCTTTGAAACATGAGGGTCGATGTTCACACTTCGAGGTGGTTTTCGTCGAAAAGGCCCACGAAGTGACGGACATCGCTTCGGACTCACCTCGCCACCCGACATGCTGTTGAAGGCGGCCGCATAGGCCGCTTCTTCCGAGCCCTGGAGCGGATGGAAGACAGAGAAACCACCCACGCACTGCCACTCACCCAAACTAAACCAACAAACCAAACAGAGTTTGAAAAGTCTTCCCCCAGAAGGGACTTGGGAGATGTGGCTCAAAAATCCATCAACAGTGAATTCTAGCTTGTCCGACTTGTCCCATGTATCGCTGGCCTCACATATCTGCTCTTGACCCATCAGTTCATCTGCCTCCAAGTCATCCAGAATCTTCTGCATGGTGAGCTTGGGTTGTCGGAGATCCCTGAGTCACAACTCTCAGACATGACAATCTCCATAAGCCAGCTTCCCAGCCCCCATGCAGGTTTCAGGGTGGATCAAATCTCATAAGACGGACACCAATGTGCTTATCACAGCAGAGTACCTGCATTTGGGGTATGACTTTTAGTGGTGACGCTGACGACGCATTCCTTCACGACACATTCTCCAAACGGTGACGACTCACTGCGGCGACACATTCCAAACGACACATTCCCCTTTGACAACCCATTGTTATGACACATTCCTTCACGATGCATTCCCCCCCTGACGACACGTTTCAACGACGCATTGACAGGCATTGGACACAAAGCACCTGCATTTGAGGGGAGCGGCTATGGGGGGCTTATTTTTGCCAGCCCAGGCAGCCGAGCGTTTTCGTACAGAAAGCCTTTCACGCTTGGGCATCACATAGTTGTGCATTACATAGGGGTCCAATGGCTCAAATCCAACGACCCACTTCCATCGTTCCAGCCGTCAGGAAGGCCACATCTGTCATTTTTTTGGCGGGTCAGGCCGGAGTCGCAGGGTGAGACGCCAGGGGGCGCTGCACCCAGGCGACTTACACAGAGTGTCTTTGGAATCGAAGGTTGACATTCAATGACATTCATATGTGAGGGTGACAAGGGTCCAGTCACGGACTTATTTCCATCACAGCTAAACTATGTGAGGGCAACTATTTAGGATGCACTCTCAGCTGTTCGGTGGATTTTGGGGGATCAACCCCGCATGACTTAGGTTTCAATACAGAAATCCCATCTGGCCATGAATGAATAAAATAAATACACCTCAATGACCTGCCAACCCCGGCTCCCACGCTGCGGAAACGATCAACTGCAAGAAAGTGCTGCGATGACTGGTCATGTGCGAGCTGCGCATTCTTATCCTCAAGGGACTCTATACCCCTCTTCGAAATCGTTTTCGAGCGACTCGTTTTCGAGTGCAATTCGTCTTCGTGGAATTCGTCTTCAGGGGAGGACTCGTCTTCGGATTCAGCTTCGTGGAAATCGTCTTCGGCAAACCTCTTCGGGTAGGAATTTGTCTTCGCGGAGGAATTCGTCTTCGCGGAACTAATTTGCGAAGCGCATCTGTCTGCAGAATTTGTCATCGTCTGCGGGGGGAAAAGTGATACCCACACAGCGGGCACAATGTATCACGGGCACCCTGAAACCAAAACAGAAGTACGACGAGGAATCCTCTGAAAACCAAACACCTCCTTACAACAACTGTCCAAGAACGGAAAATGGTCTTCCCTTCATCTCAAAAGCCATCGTATTTCTTCATTCGTGCTCTTCAATTCACTGTCACCCTAAAAATCCACAAAATCCAGAAACATTTCTATACAGCAGTACGGTATTATACATAAACATATAATGTTATATATATATATAGATATTGTTTTAACAATATGGTCCCATGTTGGTCAGCCTCGTTCATCACATCTTGACCCTCCGGCCTCGCCGGCTTCGTCGCTGGCTTCGAGCCTTGCACCACCGGTGCTGGCGCCGGTGCCGGTGCCGGAGCCGCAGCCGGCTTGGGCGCGGGCTTGGGCGCCGCCTGGGGTCGTCCGCGGGAAAACAAGTCTATATAGTATGGGTGCGATCTGAATGTACGACATCTACCATGTTAAATCCATTTAAGGAGAAATGAGAGAAAGCGCAGACGTGATGAGATTGGCATTCTCCTCACTCCCAAAGACCTCCTCAAAAGCTTTATGCATTCATTCAGACAGGCGACCGAGACAGCCGGGGCTGGTGGCGGAGGTACCAGGTAGCTCTCCTCCCAGGACGGGCTTCAGGTGCAGGCCGGCTTTTTTGTGGCGAAAACGTGGTCTGTATGCAGAACTGCGTAGATGAACATTCCCTGGTAACCTGGTATTAATTAGAGGGATTAGCCCAACAAGTCAGCATCTTCATCTATGTCATCTATGTTCTCCATCCTGTCGCAAGCAGGGACCGTTGGAGAGTCTTTGGAGGGCTACTCTCCTCCCCTTTCCGCCTCTCTCTCTCTCTCTGCTAAATCGTTTCAGTGAGTTTTCTTCTTTTGGAGGACTCTCCAGTTTGGAGAGGCACTGATCCTCCTGCCAAGGTGAGGATGAGACTTTGTCTGACCTGAGTTCCCTCCCTTCTCCTCCTCATGTTCGGGCAAGGTCCGTGGGGCAGACTTGCCTCCTGGCAGTGCAGTTTCCCTTCCATGCGTTCTACCAAATGCAGAGCCAAACAGTTGCCACTTGGAAGACCAGGTCCTTACTAAATAGTGCTGAGATGAAGTCAAACAAAACAAGGCCCGTCTACAGACATTGGCGGGATCAAATGAGCACCTGATTTTCCCGTCGGAGAAGCTCTGAAGGCAGACTGGTCCTGAACATCTTCGGCATGATGACCCGCCCACACTGGAAGAACATAACAGCAACTCTGAATCAGTCGGATCATGTCCTGTCCAACAGCATAGAATGGAATTCTGTACATCACAAAGCGGATACTGGATACTGAGAGCAATTTCAGGAATGGATTGGAAACTTTATTGCACGAGTTCAGCAGCCCCTCAACAATCTTCCAGGTATCACCATATCACCTACCAGTATTTGTCATCCACACATTGGGCAAGCAGCTTAGACTACTCAGTACTCCGACGACTCCGTTGAACGGTGGCGGTCAGCCGGTCATATGCTAGCTTTCACTAGAACAGTTCGCTCTGACCCAGCCAACGAGAAGCTCTGGGTGCTCCGCACGATCTCCGCTCGCTGCTCTTGAGCATCTTCCTCGGCCCCGTAGTTGCATCCGCACTCCTTTGCCAGGTCCTCGTCCCAAAAATCAGCCAAGGCCGCAAAACGATTTGGCACCACCCAACGGCAGTCGTGTGCGGTGTCTGGCCCTGTGAAGGCAGTTGTGCGGTTGGTTTCTCGTGCTCTTTGGAGTTTGTGAATCCAAGGTGAACAACCTTCACATTGAGCTTTATGCCCAAATCCTGGTGACGCAAGGGCGGCAAATGAGTCACCCTCGATTGGCTTTGTTTTGGGGTGGGGGTGAGGCCCCATTCTGCATTGTCCCCAGCTCGTAGGGCAAAGGGTTGGCTTTGATCTCTACTAAGAACAACTACAGCTACAAACATCTCCCTTTCTGAAGAGGATTGCTTGCGTTTACCGCTCTAAATACTGATTGGTGATATGTCAAATCCAAGGATGAAACAAAACAATGAGAGGTGGGTCAAATGGCACCGACACGCTTCCTCTCCTGACCCATGGCACACAGGTGATCCAAGGCCCTAAAAAAGGGCAGCACTATGTGAAGTCTGAGCCAAAGCGGGCAGGAACTTGGACAGTGAAAATGCACACTGGCAGGAGTACAAATTGAACTGCAACTGCACGTTAGAGTTTTATGCTGAAGGATGAAGGCTTCTCTTCGACAATTTCAAAATCCACAAGGGCCAACGGAGTTGCTTTCAAAGTGCCTAACCTATCAAAATCCTCCATCTCTTGGGAAGGCTCTGGCTCTTTAAAAGCTGGCCCTTCTGTTTGGCACTGTTGAGATGTAAAAGTTGGTCTGCAAAAAGACACCTGTACCTCACATGCACCTTCAATCTGCCAGGCCGAAAGAATCTCATTCCAAGGACAAAAAATGGAGGTCCACCAAAGACCAATGGGAGTTCTTCGGAAGAGTCACATCTCGGTAGCCTAGGCCCAGGCTACCCAGGCTCCTCGAGCCATGCAAAGCTAATCGCTGAGCCCGGTCTGGGACCCCGCGCCCACCAGAAACGTCGGCGACCGCAGCACCATGGGCCCTGGCAAGCAGGTGGGATGACAAGGTGAGATGACAAGCTCCTCATAAACTCCGGGCGTAAAACTTGACTGAAAATCCCAAGCACCATATGTCGCAACATGAAAATGAACGCTGCACAGTTTGAAACGGGACTTTGCCTTCAAGGCACCTCATGTCGTTGACGTGTTGAATTATCTTCATGTCACCGAACGTGCCTGGTGTCTGCCATCCAACACGCCGTTGGCGACTGTAGGACTTGTCACTTAAGCGCTTGAGAGGTGACTGTCAAATGAAAGGGTTGCATCTCAAAAACCAAACCAATGCTATGTTCACTGGGTAAACTGTCCAAAAGCCAAACGTTGCGATGTCCAAGTGGAAGGATTTAAGGAGAAATTGTCTGAAAGGGCCAAGGTAATGTATGCTAAGAAGCGAATACTCAGCTCATGTGTTATTCTTCTACACCGTGCCAAGCAAGCTAAGCAATCTTTGAGCCCAATGGCCATGAGCTCTGAGGCTACCAGCGACCAACACCATCCTCACAATGCTCTTTGGCCCGGCTTGATCGCACGAAAACGATGGAAAAAAAAAGTTGAGCCATGGAAAGAGAAGATTCCTTTCCTCGACTTAGCCAATCCTCACCAAACACCGCGACCGGAAATCGAGCTCCGTTTTCGGGCGATCTTGGGGGTGAAACCTCCCAACCCTACGGCCACAAAGATGGCCCCATTTCAGGCCTGGCTCGCAGAGATATGATACTGCAGAGTTCTCCACACATGGCTCCCAGGAGAAGGAAAAGGACGTGCCTAAACTGCAAGCCTTGATCCCGTGCATGAGCGATATCGACACAAATTCTTTGGAGTTGCCACTGGCAAACCTTCTCAGGTCCACGGTGTGTGGTTGACTCTGCCCTGGCTGTGGTTCACTGCCTCGGAGGCAGAAGGGCAGGTCGGCAGGTGCCCAAGGCTGCCACAACCCTAGAGTTGTGCTCGCCGGACCCAGGCTAACCGGCTAACCATCAGAGTTTGCTTGTTTTATATACTATTTTGCAAGACCATCAGAGTTATGCTAAGTGGTTCACTAGAGATTTGATAGAAAGAAATAGAGCCCTGAGAAAGGTCACCAGTGCTGCTTCAAGCGGATCAGAAATAAAGGAAGACTGGCAGCCAAGGCTATCAATCCTATCCAATCCTCTCCTTCCGAGCGACAAACCCATCAGTCCAGCGCATCGAGGCTACGGCATAAATCCTTAAGAGACGACCTGTGGGAAGTTCTTCTCATGTAGATCCTGGGCGCACTGATCCACCAAAGTCACACGAAGTCTGTTGCATGAAAATGCTTCAAACAGGGGCATGAGCATCAGGAACACGCAAGAACACTTCAATCAGGATCAAACAGAAAGCTTTTACACGCTTTGTCTTCTTGGGCTCTTTGAGTTTGCAACAAGAAGAATAAACAGGACACTGGACATCGTTCGCTGTGGTCGCCGCCCACACATGCAGCACATGCCGCGAAAGTCCGCCTGCAAGGTGGCCCACCGCAGCTTTCTGGTAGCTTCACGCCTGGGCGAAACGGAGGGCCCTCGCTGACCCGACCGGCAGCTCTTTGGCATGTCAGGTGGGTTCCAAAGACCGGCGTGAACCGGTGGAACAATGCCGAACGAGTGCAGAAAAAGTGCCACGAATGTGCTGGGCTGGTGGCTGCTCCTCCTCGTCGTAGGTTTCCTTGTGATTCGCTGAACCTCGCGAGTTGAGTCGCAGGGTTCGGCCTCCCTTCCGCGATGCAAAGGACAAACTCTATGAGCAAGTGACAATTGCAACGGGCCACATTTCTCCAATACACCCCGCCCAACCCTGCAATGATCTCCACTTGCTAGCTCATAAGGCTCCAGCATTCATCGAACAGCTGGGGATCAGCCTCCATCAACCTTGCCGAAAACGTGCTTTGTGTCTTCTCGGGTGACCAGAAACCGACCCACCACACTGGGCCTATGACTCACAAATCAAAAAAGAATCCTCTCAGATGGGTTTTGGGCGCCCTTGACCATGTTTGGCCAAGTTGAACTACCTTCTTAAAGTGACCATAGATTCCGTAATGCTCGACAATGATGGAAATGAGGGAAACGAGGGCGCAAACAACTACTGGTTCACCCGCATGCCCAACACTATGGAGTTAGCTCTCAGCCTTCGAAGCCCCCAATCTCTTTCTGAACCCTTCCTGACCTGGGGAAATGGATTTTCAATGTTACAAGGTGGGTATTCAAGTCATGCATGACTGATCTGGCACCCTTCAACCAGGCGGAGCTATAGCTGACAGCCTGTGTCTATGCCTACCTGCCCAATCTTCCAAATGCTTCGCTGAGTCCATCACAGCTTCAGCACATTGAAGGTGAGTCCATGAACAGCACCTCACACATCAGGCGTCAGCCGATGGATTAGCTCAAAAGACCTTGAGGTTCCCAGACTTGAAAGCGCTCAAGCTTCTGACTGCTCCAATGCAGCTTCGAGTTCATGTACAGCGCCCCGATGATGGCTGGGAACAAGGCCTTGGAAGAAAAAGAGCCACAGAAATGTGGATTGCCCCAAGAATATCTCGATTCTTGATGGTTTTTTGTCCAGGCCGTGCACAGTCAGATCTTGGCAATCACACTGTGCCCCCCCCCCCCGATAAGCCGTCACGGACGGCACTCCATGGTGCATTCTTTGAACGAACTCCCTCAAGGCTAGTAGAGTACACTCTTCAACTGAAGCACACGCACACCAGCAGGTAGCCCAAAGAGCAGGCAAAATCCCAAGTCGAGAAAACAGGTGTTAAACCAGTCCAAATGTCTTTTCAGAGTCTAAACAGGCCGCAAAATCAGTACTGTGTTCGAGTCACCCAGCCCCATCGGTGCCTTCCGACTCGAGGTTATGAGGCGTACGATGTAGTCGTTGTTCCAAAGGAACAGAGTGCGCTCCGCCACCTGCGCTTCGCTGGCTGTAAGGTGAGCTGTCAAAACCTAGCCCCACTATGGAACTCAGGTGGGTTCTCTCAAGCAACGTCTTTCGAGCATTGAGTCCATCTTTTTTGGAATAGAAAGCAATAGACATAGAGTTGGGTATTCCACAACACTTGCCTGCATCCCCAGAAGGTCGTGCAGGTGGCATCTTCGCAAACTTTGTATTGGTTGGCAGAGGCTGCATTGAAACTTCAGCTGACCTCCTTCGGAGATCGCTTTCGTGAAAGAGAATATTAAATTGCGGTGAAACGGGATACTTGAACAAAAAATCAAGCAGCATCATTGTATCTCATTCTGTGTCTCGGATGTTGCGTGCTTCCACTTGTATGGGCAGCTGGGGAGGCCCAGGAGATGGCGACCGAAGTCCAGGTGGTGGTGGTAGAAGTCGTGGCGGTAGAAGTTCGGGCCCCGGCAAAGGATCCTGAAGAGGAGCATCCAGTTTCTCTTTGCAGGCAGATGAGCTTGGCCGGCGGAGAAGTTTCCCGACGATTGTCGCGGGAAGGGAGGGTGCATGAAGGGAGGCGCGACTTGCAAGGTCCAAGTGAACCTCTTTGTAGATCGCCTTGGTAATGCCCAACATACTCACGCACATGCTCACAGACAGCTGGAAAGCTGAGAAGTCATCGAGTGAGGAGGAAAGAGCCACGCCTTGAATGAGAACAAACAGAAAAGCTTCCACGAGCTTCTCTGACTGCAAAGTTTGAATGACTTTGTCAGTCTGAAATCCCACTCGAAACGACTCTATGAACGCTGCAAGAACATCCAAAATCCCAAGTCTGAGCTGCTGAATCAAACTAACCACAAGCACAACGGCCTGCAAGGCCATCAGGACATACTGCTCAGTCACAAGTAGATTGAACAGGCAAACAGCATCAAGAAGCGTGTCTAGACAAACAAAACAAATTTCCAAAGCCAGTTGTGCCTTGAACTTTCTTCCCGAATTCACTTTTCCACCAGACATCTCGAGAAAGCGTTGCTGATTGTCAAGTTCAACTTGGATGAGCGACTTCAATCTCTCCCCATTGGCTCCACCTGTGTCAGAGAATATAAACCGGCACAGCAACCACAAAGCTGGCGCCACAAAAGTGCAAAAGCACGGGAGGGCGACCTTAACCCATTCCCTCTGACCCAGGTGGGGAAGTCAGAATTTGGCTTCAAGTAGCAAATGTTGCTGCGCATCCATGTCCAGCCTCCCCAACTAGCACATGAGCAATCAATCAGCAAAGTCAAAGCCTGATGGGTGCAGTCCTCAATCTGGTCGATGTTATGACGGCGTGCTTCTGTAAGGTCACACGTTGCACACTCTGTCTTGTTTGTACACCCCAAAATCGCCTTAAATGTGCATTTTCTAAGTTGCCTAAAGATATTATCGGCTTTTCACTCAATCATTTCTTTGCGTGGTTAGTCTCGTAGAAGGGCATTTTGCGTGTTCTGCGTAGTATTCACCTGTTGGAGACGACAGCTCGTGGAAATCACAACACCTCCGAAC